TGATGTTTAAATGAATGTGTTTACATTTAGATCGTAAGGCAAAGAGCGCTTTACGACCTTGCTCTGCTACATGGTTAACCATAAAACTGAATTTGTTATTAAATCTAAACAGAACCCCCAGATAACAGAATTGATCCACAATTGAAATTTTGTTGCCGTTATACACCCAGCTTTCTGATTCTCTAATAATTCCACTATTTCTGAAAACCATATTTTTGGTTTTATCGGTATGAACTGTTAATTTCCACTTATTCGAATACTCACTTAGATTGTTCAAGAGGCTTTGTAAACCTTCGATTGACTCAGGAAATAAAACTAAATCATCTGCATAAAGAAGAAGAAATAAACTCAATTCCCCAAAAATTATGTCAAACAGCCTTATAGGAATATACCGGGAGGCTTCGGTCGTGCGTTCGATGATATATTCCGTCGTCACTTACTTGTGTAGATATATATTTAAAGGCTACATACATATAAATGATTTTTTTTTTTACAATTTTAATAATGAAACGAGTTTCCCCTGAGGAGGCAAACGGAGTATTGGATGCTATCTAAATGAATATGTGTTTGTTTGTTTTTTACATAACTGGTTAATCTAGTGACTGTAAATAATATCCTTTCCATCTTTAAATTGATCTTTAAAACCGAGAGAATATAATATATACGTCTCTGGTGTACCGCACCCATTTCTTTACAATATGTAGATATATACGATTGGAATTGACAAAAAAATGCACCGGTACAATAAATAATACTCAAAATGAGAAGTAACCCTTGTTTTTTCACTCCCAGTCATAAAACTTGAAACGTTTTTTATTCTGTATGCAATCCAAGGAATTTAGCACATAATAAATATACACACCACTTCTAAAAATATTGCAGAGGGAGAACCTGTCCGTTCAAGTCTCACAAAGATTAGTAATTTATCAATGAACCACCTGATCAGATATATAGCATGGTCTAACATTAATTGGCTCGTTTCTGACTTTCATCTGCCGAGTGATGCAGTTGTACTGATTGTGGTTTGCATATAATGTGACGCTGTGACATACATTTATATTTTTCTTGAAATTGATCCTTATACCTGACATGATATATACGTCTCTGCTTATACATTTCCCTGTTATCTCACCCTCGGACATTGTTGTTAAATTGAAAATTGGAAGACACAATCTACACCAATCTAGATACTAACTTAGGAACCCCCTTGCCCACCTGCTGCCATCCCTTTGATGCCCTTTGATGTCATACCTGTACACAGGTATATAGGTGTGTCTTCGGCCTCCTGCTGTCAACACCACTGGACACAGGTGTTTAGTGTTATTTACCTGTACACAAATTTCATACCCAAGTATGCTAAGGGAGTCGATCGAGATGATTTTCATTATTTAACCAAGATGTTAAATCATAAGTTGTGTATGCTACATGTATAAGGAGAAACAACAAATGTTTTAATCTCATAATTCAATTATAAAATTTTCATCACGGAATTAGATTATATAAGTCCGTGATCTAATTAAGCATCGCATACATAGGTACTGTATTGTATTCAATCAAATGTTTGAAATGTCGACCTAACATAAAGAAGACACAATGTCGGCGATTTGTCATTAAACGGTGATACTAAAAGTATTGACATTTAAAAACAGCAGACACCTACGTTGAAGTTATTTTGTAAACATTTTCACTGATATATTTCCGGTTTTTTGGACCGTAGAGGTACCACAGTATGTAACTTTCTTCGTTATAAATATTCCGGCACAGAAACTCGTCACGACATAGTGCTGTTCAATGACGACATGATTGGATAAGTTCTCACTGTAGAGCAGAAACATATAAAGTATATACGTCTCTGTGTAGCGTAAAGAAAATGATTGCAAACTGACTTTCCAGCTGAAATTAAGAAAAATCTTTGATCGACAACATTGAGACTATTTCTGTTTAATTTCCCTCAAAATCGCACATTCGAAAAAAAATCTCTTCAATGCACAGGATCAGGACATGCAATGCTACCAGTCTATGTTACCCTATTCAGAGTCGTTAGTTTTATTTCAATTAAACTCACTGTCTGGAAATTCTGGCAAATTTTATATGGCTGGTACCATCTACATAATGTTAACTTCAGCATAATCTGATTCCTCAAAACTGAAAAAATATAATTATTATCTGACGCTATATGACCATGGCTGTTCTTAATGATCGACTATTCCTGCTAATTAGTAGAAGACAGACAGGTGAAAATCGTACAATTAACACGTCAATATCTCGGTAATGGGATGACCGATTTTTATGCGGTTTTCGACATTTTTGTGTTTGGATCATACAGAATTATAATAAATTCTTTTTATTTTCGTTCAGGGTACACTTAATTTAACCCTTGAGGACTAATACAACATTTAACTCAACGATTGGTGTTGATTATGACTTTGAGGGTAACAATCATCAGCAAAAAACCCGAAAGGAAGTAAATTGAGTCGAAATAGCTTTAATATATTGCAAGTAATAGCAGTGGACCCAAAACGGAACCCTATTGAGCACCTGTAGTTCAGTGTTTTACCGATGAATATGATTCGTTGATCAAATCCTATTGTTGTATGTTAAAGTCATGTACATGTAGAAAGTCACCCCAAGTACACAGGGCCAGCATACCCAACATGATCTTATGTCCCAGATTAAAGTTTGTTTAATATTTTTTTTCTCTTAAAAAAAAACAGTTTAGAAGAGTCCTCTATGGTTTGCAATACATGTATACTCCAAAGCAATAAATGATATGACCTATATGGATTGAGAAATTGATAGAATTCTGAACTAAAAAAAACCCCGTGCTATCGGCAAATATATGCCAGAGATTCCACCATACACGGACTACTACTTCCTGATACAATGCCGGGATATGCAGGCTTGTCATGTCGAAATGGCTTTTTAACAGACATGAATTTACCTAATGTACAAAAAGATAGAGTAGAGAAATCCCAAAGTTGCTTTCCCCTTGTCATTCGACATATTATCTGTTGTCGCTGTGGTCATAAGGCAACTGAAAGGGGTTGGGCATACTATTATACTAAATGGTATGTGATTGCATTGATTTTTTGTAACTACTCAGTTTCAGTTAATTCTCATAATGATTAAATATCATTACCTGTTCAGGATAAAAAAAAAAAATTCGTTGTATAATCTTCCGAATAAATTCCATTAAAGATTGGTTTAATAAGTCATGTTAGCATTATTTACTACAATATGGCAGAGACGTATAATGTGTTATATATGGCTAATTAATTGTGAAAAGTCGGTTGACATCATTACATTGATTAGGCAATAGTATAATATTTAGATTTATCCGATAGCTTAGCATGATTTTTTTTAGATGTATAATGAAATATATTATGCTAACCTTAAAAAATAACAGAACTTTACAAGACCGTATGTAACTCTGTAACGTGTTTTTAAAAGCTATTTTCTCTGTAATCACTATCTAATTAAAAGGGCTTGGTAAATTTAGAAACAATGCGGCAACACAAAGCAGCTGTTTGTATAGTTTCCACACGCAGTTTTGTTGCTGTCTTAGACATGAAGGAGTTCCTGACCGCTTTTGTGTACAGTACTTCGCTTATGTTGCCACAATGAATTTGCCTGGAAAGACGGCGTGGGGGAGTGGTGAAAGATCAAAGGCGGTAGATCAGGCCAATCAAAATCTTGGCTGAGGAAACTGCACGAGCACAGAAATCTATGACGTCACACATTTTGTCTATTTATGTTGTGCACATGGGCGCGTCTAATTACCCAATACTACCCAATACCACCCAATACTACCCAATAC